CAGCCTAATCCTCCATGTCATCCCTTCTTCCAGTTTCTGTCTCTCATCTTTGATTGACCCTCCATGAAGGGAAAGATCAGTGTGGTGATGAGCCAGTGGCCGCTGTTCTCTGTGGGCTTAGGAAGTCCTGGCTGCAGTTAGAGGTTATGTTTTAGAGGCAGTTAGAAAAACAGAGAGGGCTTTTGTGAGTCTGTCTGACTACTTCAATAACTGAAAGGAGAAAGAGGGGACTTGAGTTGGCGCTGGGGAGAGCTGGTTTTGTTATCTAATAGTGTCCACTCTTGGGACTGAGCTGCTCAGTCGCCTCGCTGCCTGCAATGCCAACTCAGCTAAGATGGGAAAAAGCAGGTGATGACTCACCTTAAACACAAAGAACAAAATAGCATCCCAAGGGAGAAAGCCATTCTTATGTGTTTACATTCAGGTGATTTCTTCTGCAAAGTTATTTTTGATTAATCGACTTTGGCTCATATGTTATTCTCAGCTTTCCCAAGCAATGCTTTGGAATAATTATGCTCTTGGCCTCTGGAGCTAGGTAGCACTCAAGTTCCAACGCAGACACATACTGGCAACGTGAATTTGGGCCAATTCACCTTTGTCCTTTATTTTCTCTATCTGTAAAATGGACATAAAAATGGGGATTGCTTCCTTCTCAGAGCCATGAGGGAAAGATCTCTTTTAGGACTCTCTCCTTGGCTTCTAGATGGCCATCTTCTTTGTCTTCATATTTTCTTCCCTCTTCACATGTCTGTGTCCAAATTTCCTCCTCCTTATAAGGACACCAGTCTTACTGAATTAGTATAAGGAACTCATTTTAACTGAGTTACATCTATAATGATGCGATCTCCAAAACCAGCCGTATTCTAAGTTTCTGGGATTTAGGACTCCAAATTATACACTTGCAGAAGTGAATACAATTCAGTCTATAATAATCTACCTTTCTCTTTCTCAAATATTACAAGTCTTTTCCATCTTGATATTCATAATGTTGTTGTATAAAAAGATTCAAAATATTATATTTCATCTAATTTTATTTTAAATACCTTACCTATGTATTTATATGCATTCATATGGATATGTGTATTCTATTCATAAAATCCTGACCCAGATAGCTCAGTCTAAGAGTATCTATGTTAACAAAAGTGATTTAAAAACATACCTACACCTTCGTATGTATTTTCATATACCTGAAGGCTATTTTCATATACCATCATGCCCTGCATTCCTCTCCCTTAATTTTGTACCTCTTTCCAAAATTGCACTAAAAAAAAATCCTGTGGCCCATACCCCTTCCACCTCATTGCACACTCCACATCTTATTCTCCATCACAAAAAAACAGAAAAATTATATTGAAAAGAGCTGGTCTTCCTTATTAGGGAAGGATGGGAGAAACTGACCAGGACCCAGCCAGAATTCTTTGTAGTGGTGTGTGTGGTAGGGAAGGGGAGGTAGAATAGGGGAGGGTGTTAGTAATGTTCTAGTATTCATAATCTTCATCCTATTTCATATGCATAGAAACATCTAGAAGGACATGCATAAAGGTCAAAATATTAACGGTAGTTATTTCTCGTGCTAGGATTAGAGTGGATTTTAATTTTCTTCCCTTTGCTTATCTGTGTTTCCAAATTTCCTACCGTGAACAGCCTTTCTTGATTAATTTTTCAGAATTTTTATGGAAGCCTATCTTGATTAATTTATAAATTAGGTTTTTTTTAATAGTCTCCTAGTACTTTTCAAGAATACAATGTTGGAGAAGCAAGTATGGTAATTCCAAGGTAAAGAGATTTAAAACTATATTCTCTGCTCCAGATACAGCCCCTGACCATGTATCCAAGCTAATCATCAGCCAACACTGGGAGATTTGCTTTTACTCCTGTCTCCCCCTTTGTTTTCAAATAAAAGCAAAAGTATTTTCAGAAATACAAAAATCAGGGAGAAAGGCAAATTAAGCCAGCAAACATGATATGCCTTATCTGCAAAATGGCTACAATTGTAAGACCCTCAGCGATCCATGAGGTAACACACATGGAAAGCACCTACTAAGTTAAGCTCTTGCACCTAACAGACAATTCCTGACTTCAGCTTTTAGGTTCAGCCCTGGATGGGAGGCTGTGGGTATAACAATCAGATGGTGACCCAGCCCTGAAGGAGCTCCCAGTGTGTGGGAGGAGGAAATAGCAGCAGTGACATAATGATAGCAGTAAATAGTTACTAAATGCTAATGTGCCAGGCAGTCTTCTAAAGACTTTACATTTATATATTGACACTTTTCATCATAATGGTATCTATGAGGTAGATTATCTCTATAATAATTGTATATTCTGTCCTGGCCACAGAAGTCTGGCCCCAGAGCCCATAGCTGTGGTATAGTAATGTTTATAATATATTCAGTGGCTAAGCTTGGATGCTGGAATCAGTGTCTCTGGGTTCAAATTATTGCTCTCCCAATTATGGGCAACATAATTGACTTTTAATACCTCAATTTGTTCATCTGTAAAATGAGGATAATCATAGTTGTTATCTCATAGATTATTGTAAGGGAAAGAGTGAATATGTGTAAAGCACTTACAGCATTAATGTCCGGCACATAGCTGTTAATGTGTGTTAGCTGCTGTTGTTATTTCTCTCCTAGATGAAGCTCTTTGGAGCTAGGTCACTGTCTTAGTAATTGTTGTATCCACATCTGCCAAATCAGCACCTAGGACAGGATGAAGTCAGTAGTTATCTGTTAATTGAAAAAAACATCTGATCACTGCTCACCTTTGAAGGTAGGGAGGAGGAATAAAGAGTGGGGCTCCTTTCATGAGTGAACACCAGATTTCCCCCAAAAAAATGTTACTAGAGGAATTGGAGTCCTTCCAGGGTGGATAACAGTCCAAGAAACTGTGAAGATAAGAACCAGAAGGACCATAGAGACCTTAGACCGTAGCTCAAGTCTCCCATTTTACAGATGAGGATCCTGAGACTCAGGGGCTTCCAACAATTTGCCTGTGGTCCTGCTGCTCACTGCACTGGAGGGAATTTGTTAGGGGATGCAGGGGCTCTTTACCTTAGCCTCAGGTTTCACCCCCTGAGTAATTGAGTAGAACCTTTTAATTTAACTTCACAGTTTTATTGAATGTCAGGTGCCCTCTGCTAAGCTCACGAAAGACAGGAGCTGAGACAGGTTCAAGGAGTGTCCAGACTTGGGCAAGATAAGACATCAAGTAAGAAATATAGGGGTGAGGAGGGAGACCCCAGGGGAGAGCGAGAACTCGCCTTGTTTCCATCTATACTTGTTGGGAGACTATAAAAACCAAGTGAGGAACAGGAGTTCTTTAGAAGGAGACTTGAGCAAACCTGTTCAAGTCCTATTTGGCTTATGACTCTGAGTCCTTGAGTTAAGGGGAACCCTCCAGGCAACACTATGGAGGGAAGCAGATGGAAAAAAGCTTCTCTCCATATCCCCACCAAACTTACTCAGAGAACCCCTCAACCCAGCACAGCCCCATCCCAGGGCCCCTGGGAAAGCAGGAGAGTAGGAAGATGATACTCAGAAGGGTATTTTTGTCCTACTGAAGGTACAGCCATAAATCCTATAGATCCTTTGATCTATAGGATAGATCCAGCTATGGATAGGGATAGGTCCATAGGATAGATAGATCCATCGATGGGATAGATCCACCAGTATCACAGACTGGAAATTCATAGCACAGCTCAGGGATGGGAACAATCTTAGCTTGGCCCAGTGCCCTTACTCTTCTCTCTGGGAGTAGTTCAGCATTAAGCACCCATTATTTCTTATTTCATCCTTGGGATGAAGAGAGGAAGGGCCTGTGTGGGTGCGAACCAGCCTTGAGGAGGAAAAGAAAGAGGCAGTGCAGTGCAGCAGGGTATGCCAGGGACAGGCCCCTGGAGAGCAGGGGCCTCAGGGTAACTTTGGATAAGTCACTCAGATGCTCTGGCCTCCGCTTCCGATTCTATAAAATGGGCTTGAAGAAGTTGTTCTCCTAAAGCCCCTTCAGACTCTGAAATTCAGAAGTTGCATTCATTATCCTAGAAGTACCACCAGGTCTCCAGGGAACTCATTTCCCTAAAAGAACCCCTAACAGCATGAGCACCCCACTGTGTCCCCAGCCGCGGGTTGGAGGCATACACCAACCATGACATGTCTCTCAGTTCCTGCATATTATCCATAGGTGAGTTTGCATTCTACTCCATCCTGTATCCTTAACTATCAAACCAGTGCTCTGAATTGTTTTCTGTAGATGTTTGTTGATAAATCTGGACTTGAGGTTAATAAAGAATCTCTTGTTCTTATCTTGAATGACAGCAAAGCCCTAACTCTTGGGGGGAAAATGACAGAAAATGGCTAGTTTCTTTTTGTACCTTCTGTCTTTTCAATTTCTTCTCCTCTGAGCATATATTATAGAGAAAAATAAATAGATGTTAAATATGAAAAAATAAGAGTATTCTAAGCTCTGTGTACAGATTTTAAGAAGGGAAGGGCTTCCCTCCTGACATTTTTTGCCTCAACTTATGGGATTTCATGGGAAATCTGTACTGTTGAACGAATATGTGCTGTGCTCACTTTTATTTGAGTGCTTCATGCATAGTAATTTATGAGGAACGTATGTCACGGTAATAATAATGATTAGGGTGATGACATCAGCTGGTTTTACTGTATTTTTACCATGTGCTGCTGTTCTGAATGCTTTACATGTATCATTTAATTCTGGCAAAACCCTTTGAGATGGGCCTTGTTACTATCCTTATTTTATAGATGAGGAAACTGAAACATTGAAAAATTAAGTGACTTTTCTGCTTGGATGGAACATCTCTTATGCTATGTCTTTTCTGTTCTCCACCTGCCTTTTAGGTCTGGCCAGTTGCTGTAGCAACTTGACCATGTCACCTAATATCACCCATCCAGGCTTAATATTTTAGAATAAGTTACAGACAGTGTTAACAGGAAACAAAGTTAACTAACAAATCAATGGGCATGTGTTTGATCCCACAGACTGAGCCTGAAATCATAGAGGAAACCAACGTGGACAGAGTTAATGAGCCCCGGGGCTATGCCAGGGCCAGGCAGGGCAAAGGCCACTCGGAGACCTCAACTCTGAGCTCCCAGCCCTCCATCGACGAGGTCAGGCAGCAGATGCACATGCTGCTGGAGGAGGCTTTCAGCCTGGCGTCCTCGGGCCACGCAGGCCAGACCCGGCACCAGGAGGCCTATGGCTCAGCACAGCACCTGCCCTACTCCGAGGTGGTGACCAGCGCTCCGGGTACCATGACGCGGCCCAGGGCTGGGGTCCAGTGGGTGCCAACCTACCGCCCAGAGATGTACCAGTACAGTCTGCCCCGGCCGGTAAGTGAGTCTACCCCCTACCCCTCCACAGGTTGTTCCTGAGGGGTCTCAGAGCGGGAACTTCTAGTGATAAGCCACCTTGGGATTTTGACATGAACTTTGCTGGCTTCTCATCCCATCCTGCACCCGTGGTCTAAGCCTAAGCCATTCAGTCTGGTGGGCAAAGGTATACAGGAAGCCCAGATGTCCAACCATAATGCATTTTATTCATTTAGTTATTTTTAAAGATTTATTTATTTATGCATACCAGAACTGGGCCAGAGGTGCAGGGGGTGAGAGGATTCACCAGAACCAGAGTGGGGAACAGAACAGGCAGACTGACTGATATACACTGCTGAGGGGAGCAGCAGGGAGACAGGAGAGGTCTGCTAAGCCATGTGGGTAGCTTCCTGGCCAGCTGGGGATCGCACTCATGCTGCAGAGGCTGCCGATAGCTTCACAGTGCTGTGCTTAATCCCTTGCACCACCAGGGAAGCCCCATAATGCATTTTAGAAGGAATTTCCTTTTTCCACTATCCCTCCCATGAAGGGCTGACCTCATTCTTCATGCCCTGGTGATTTCCTACATTTCCAAGTATGAGGACCCATTTCAATGCCAGAACACACTGCTGAACCATATGCTAAGGTGAACACCAGGCAGCCTGGAATTCAGAGCAGAGGCTTTCGAGGTGGGTGGCCTAACTTTAAATCCCAACTGTAGCTCTCACAGTCTTTGTAACATAGACAGGTTACTTAAAACATCTTTGAGATAAATAGAAAAAATAACCTACTTCCTAGGTTGTAAAGATTAAGCAAGGTGGTTTATGAGAGGTAGTGAGAGAATGTCAGACACACCATAAATGCTACAGAAGTATCAGTCATGATTGTTTCATTTATTGGTAGCCACACTTCGGTGTCTAAGAAACTACCCAGTGACTAGAAGCTTCCATGATTTAAACAATTTAAATTGCATTTCCTTCATCTCCATACTATTTACATATAACTTGATAAAAAGATGTAGCTTTTTATGCCATTGACCACAATAGACAATGCTTCATGCAGGCATAGATTCCGCCTCTGTAATGTTCCATGCCCCGTTTCCAGGGATTACTCATTCACAGAACTCTATATATTGTTGTGATATGTAATGACATAATAAAAGCCAACATTTACTGGGTGTTTTACTGTTACTAACTATGTAAACTCACTTACGTAATTCTTACAATAAGCCTCTGACACAGGTATGCATTTGGGCCCCATTTTATAGATGAGGAAATTGATGTTCCATAACTTGTTCAAGTCACACAACCAGGAGGGATGGAGCCAGAACCCATCTAGCTCCAGAGCCATCTGGCTCCAGAGCCCGTGTGTTCATGCCTTGCTGTTCTGCCTCATGCTGTCACATTGCCTCTCCACTATACTATTTCTTTCATTTGCAGTAGACTCTTCAGGACACTTATATGCTTGGGCTGCCTTGTGATAACTTCCTAAATCCACACTATAAATCCCACCCCTAAATCCACACTCTACTGGCGCTTAATAGATCTGCTGTTACTCTATGTAACTACATGATTGCACACTATAGAGAATAGCCTTTGCTCCCCGTCAACCCCTCCCTGCCACCCTGGTCACTGAGATGTCTCCCCCTTGACACTGCTCCTAATCCTTAAGTCTCTCTCTTTGAATGTCAGTCTTAGCCTAACCTTTCCCTGCTGATTAAGCTTTAGCAGGAAAGGCTGATGTTTATTTCACACTGAGTCTGCGGGGGTTGCTGTGCTTGAGTGGGCCATCTTGATGGCAAGAATTTGTCCTTATTCAGCAGGTGCAAGATTCTATTTTATCCATTCCCTCCAGGGCAATCAGACTCAGGTACTGACTCATGCTGATTAAGCTCACAACAGCGGCTTGACCACTAAGAAAACCAACTTACAGACCAGCAGTGAGAAGCTGGGTGACCAGAATACTTAGGTTTGCTCATCAGCATGGTCTTTCATTAAGTAAAAGCCAGTTTAGGCAAAGTAAGAGATTGTCAGAAGGAAAACTGATTGTTCTTGATATCATCTTTTCAGTCTGTGACATGCAAATCCTTTATTGAAAAGACATGGGATAAGTGCAGGACATTTTTTTGCACCCACTTCCTGAGATATGGGTAAATACAATTCAAAATTCTTAATGTAATTTTTCAGTTAAATAGATGACTTTGGGGCAATGCCAGGATATCAGGAATTTACTTCTGCCATGAGGGAACTTGACTGGATACATTCAAGAAGCACTGTCTTCCAGAAGAGTGCCAGCAACTCTGGGACCATCATCCATTGGTCTGGAATCAAAAATCCTGTTTTTTTAGAAAGAGCTGGAAAAATTCTCACTGAGCCTTACAAATCTACCTTATAATATCTTCCCAAGATAGTCCTATTACAATTTCTACAAGTAGAGTTTTCTACTAATTGCCCATTAATTTGGTCTCTACCCTTATGGGGAAGAAGGGACTTTTTCATTGAGATTTAGAAAATACCTTAGTCTTACCACATTTATAGTCACCTCTTAAATCCCCTGGGAAAGTTACTCTATCCATCCTATATATTGATTCACACTGACTTCAGTTTCATTGGTTCATCCTTCCTGATCTCCGTACATCCAGGGATGTGTCCCTGGATTTTCCCACAACCCAGAGTAGATTGGTGCTCGCAGCTGAACAGCCTTAGCCAGTGACTGTGACTCAGGAGCCCAGATTCTTTAGCCATCCAGTGGTAGGGGTAAGAGAGCCACGGTGCAGGAGAAATGGTAATTTGTGTAAGACAGTATTTGTTAGTTAATATAGATCAGAATGCTTGTATGATGCCCAGTACATCAGATTACATGGTAAATGGTCTTCATTATTTTTTTAAAAAATTGCCCCTTTTCATTGGATTCCATTAGTTACAGACTCACCTGCGAGACACTGTGGGTTAAGGTCTAAATAACCACAGTAAAGTCAATAATGCCATAAAGCAGGTCACACACGTTTTATGGTTTCCGAGTATACATCAAAGTTATGTTTATCTATGCTGCAGTCCATTAAATGGGCAATAGCATTATATCTGAAAAAACAATGTATATACCTTAAATACGCGTGACACAGAGGCATGAAGTGAAACTGCTAGAAAGATGGTGCTATTAGAAAATAGCACTTTTGAGAAAGGAGAGTTACTGAACACCGGGTTGCCACAGACTTTCAATTCGTTTTTGTTTTTGTTTTTTGTGGAAGAACTGGGGTGTAGGCCAGAGGTGCAGGGGGTGAGAGGATTCACCAGAGACAAAATAGGGAGCATAACAGGCAGATCTACTGCAATACACTGCTAAGGGGAGCAGCAGGAGAGACAGGAGAGGTCTGCTGCACCATATATTGTTAGCTCCCTGGCCTGGGATCAAACTTCAGGTTGCAGTGGTGATTATGCTGAGACTTAACCCCTAGGCCACCAGGGAGGCCCTCAAACCTTCAGTTTGCATAAAAAAGAAAAAAGTAATATCTGCAAAGCACATAAGCAAGGCATGCCTGTATATCCCTTTCTTTTTTTTTTTAAATATTGATTTATTTATTTATACAAGCACTGGCTACTTCAGAAGCGCGGGAGGGTGAGAGAATTCACCAGAGCCAGAGCAGAGAGCAGAGCAGGCAGAAGGACCGAAGTACACTGCTGAGGGGAGCAACAGGTGGCAGGAGAGGTCTGCGCGCCATGCGGGACCCTCCTCCGGTGGCTGGGGAGCAGCCGGGGATTGAACAGGCGCTGCAGAGGCTGCGTGCAGCTTCGCAACCTAGCACTCAACCGCTGCGCCACAGGGGAGGCCCTGTATATCCCTTTCTGACAGATGCAGAAGACTACAGCTTCCTCCCACTCTGTTAAATTCCTTTAAGAGCAGGCTCTCGGCACCCCAACTCAGAATCCCAGAGCAGCTTCACTTCTGTTTAAAGATGACTCTTTTGAGTGTCCAGATCCATCTGGCTGGAGGTCAGATTGTAGGGATCCACAAAGAGAATAGGGATTCAGAGGAAAAAACTTAACCAACCAGGACGGGTCTTCCAAACAATGACAGGCAAGAAGATACATCCTACCTGCTCTGCCTCAAAGTAACAAAATCATCTAAATATGTCACTGTGGGGCATCTGAAAACTTAGATGGTTCTGTTATACTTTGGAGCTGACAGGACAAAAACATCAACATACAAAATGAGTCCACCAAAAAATGGAAACGGACTGAAAAACAACCCGAAGAGAGACGGCCATCAAACTAGAACTCCATCAGAGGCAGTTGTTTGGTTATTAAGGTTCTCCCCTCCTTTTTACCAACGACATGTCGTCCCTATTTTCACAAAAGGAGAAAATAGCTAACCGTACACAGAATGATGATGGTCCTTAACCCAAGTTCTTGCCTAATCCCCTTGTGTTTTGATAGTGTGGTAATCAATGGAAACAGTGGCAATTTAGACTGATAACTATGATTACTTCTCGACTTCCAAGAAGAAGTGCTTCAAGCTCTGCCGGGGGATAAATGGAAGCTGGTGGTTTTAAATGGACTAAGACAGGTTGATGGCATTTATAGCATGGAAAAAGTTACTGGCAGCAGCTTGGGATGTCAGCACTGCAGTTCAGGGGAGTCTTCATCATATTTTACCCCTTGAATCTGAAGAATTGAACTTGACAGCCAATGACCAATCCATTTGCTAGCAGTTGTAATGGGTCTGTGCCAAGCAGAACAAAAACATCCTACCATCTTCCTGCAGGTGTCAGAGTAGGGGATTCCAAGAAAGGCAGCGGGGGCTCAAACGTCTTCCCCATGAGGGCTTTACAGATGGAATTAACAGTGACAAAAATGACAGCTGCCATCTGTTGGGCTCCCACTAGATACTGGATACAGAGCGAAGAGCTACGTAGACATATTTTTTCTACTTTAACAACTGCCCTTAGGTCAATATATTGATCGTTTTCCCCGTGTACTCAGTGAGGGACTGGAGAACTGGAGAAATTTGCCCACATATAAAGGGTTGAACTGGGCTTAGAACCTAGAGCCTTCTAACTTCAAAGCCCACAGTCATTCTGCAGCCCCCCAACCCACCCCAGGTGAGTCATAGGGATGTCCTCCCAGCTCTGATGAGGACCCCAATCTCAAAAGTTGGAGCATAATCTTCTCATAAGGGGGCTTATGCCACTTCAGAAGAGGATGTTATTACCTGTTGCTATCATTGCCCCTTGGAAGGGAAGCCTTTTTTCTGTAATAGTCTCCATGTGCCAGAAGACTTCAATATCTGGTCCCAATTTGTTCTCATCTAACTAATCTCGCTGGCGTGCCTAGAAGCCCTCTATCTATTGTCCAGGTGTAGTCCGTGGCGGAACACAGTTGTATCCAAGTCCTCCTGCCTATAAGCTTTCTCCACAACTCTCCCTTCTTTCTTCCTTAAGTGTGTGTGCTCCTTCTCTCTTCAATCTCTCTCTCTCTCTCTCAATGTGGGAGAATTCTGTGCTATGGTTTCTTCTCAAGTAATGAGTATATGTCCCTTGTCTTTCAGGTTCCCCAAATTTTTATGCTGTTGTGTCCACCTTCCACCCAGCCCCATTCCCATTCACCCCCACCATGGAGTCGCTTTTCCAGACCCTATAGCCTCTAAATTCTTTACTTCTCTCCAGCTTCCCCTCCTTCAAATTGAAGGTGTCTACCCAATCTGGAGGCAGAGTTGTCTCATTGGACCTCCTTTCTTCCGAATCTCTTGCTTGGGCGTCATCCTTAAACTTTGAATACTTTGGGGTTAAAGTAACTGACATTCGAAACCCTAAACTCTTACAGTTCAGTAGTTTTCTGTTTTTGCGATTCCAGTAAGACTGGGCTTTTGGGTGCATTTTCAGTGTTGGGGTCTGCCTTCCCTGGGGCAGGAAGGTGGGGTGCTCTTGCTTCTTGGGCAGGAAAAGGCTCTGGATTTAAGGAACTGTGAGAGGAAATCTTGGTTACTCAATTGCTATATCAAAATATAATCTGTCACAATTTTCCTGTCTTAGAAGGAAAGGACTATTCTCACCCCCCCAGCTAACTTTCCACTGGGATTGCTAGAGAACATGACCCTGACCCACCCCTCACTCCCTATCCAGGGGCATTGGGACTGGAACTTTGAACAGACTATGGTCACCTTCTTTCCTTCTATTTTACAACCAAACTTGTGAGCCCAGAGTGTCCTATTCCAGTCACACCCAGGCTCCTATCACCTTGGAGACCTGAGACCTGTTTTAAACACTTCAGTTCTAAGTCTCTGATCTCCTTCCTATCCAGAGGGCAAGGGTCCCAAAAGTTGGTGTCCTTATGTGCCAGCCTGGGCACCTTACGATCACTATCATGGAACTGGGCACTTGGATCCAGGTAACAATTTTGGATAATAGCTTCCAGTGGGATCCCAGTTGCAAAGCAATCAAAAGGGAGCCTGTTTCCAAATACAGCTCCCTTTTGAAGAGGAGATAGACTGCAAAGCCAGGAGCACTTAGGAGCATGGGAAACCTACACAAGGTGGTGTAGGAAGACTGTGTGTGATGCCCTTAGCCTTCTAGTGCAGGCCACAGGCTACATCCTTTTGTAGTTCCTGTGGCTGCCTGGGACACCAAGGATACAACCTAAAGCGGGTGTTATGCTTCTTCCCCTGCATTTTGTTGACCCCAAGAATACTGCTTGCTTTGTACCTGGAAAAATTTTCCTAAGAATGGGATGCCCTTTATATTTGCCAAAAGTTCAGAACTTTTAATCAATTCTTTTAGTGAGCTAATACAGGAACAACTCCATCTAGCTTTTTTTTAGCTAGAAAATAGCCCCACCTCTAATCTTTACTATTTCCACCTTTGGTTTCAACTCATGGTTATTTAGTTTCCTGGGTGTGTGTGTGTGTGTGGGTGTGGGTGTGGGTGGGTGGGTGTGGGTGTGGGTATGTGTGTGTGTGTGTGTGGATCAAGTTGTTATTTAGTGGGCCGGTCCTTGTCAGTATGTGGTCTGCATAAGCTGGAGGGAGAAGACCTCATTCCGTTTAAAGAATCCTGTTTATGGATTCCCTCTGCCGATGCTTTTTGTCTGGATGCCTTCAAGTTTAAAGACCTGTCATCTTGTTCCTTGAGGATCTGCACGCCATGATACCTAAAAAGAAAGATGAATGAATAGCACAAGTTAAGCTTTGTCTTCTAAGAGAGTGTCTAGATTTTTTTCTTGCTAAAGAAATCTCTGATCTATTTCTGACCATTTCCTTTTATCCCTGCATGTGTTGATTAAAGTCTTCATTTTTGAGCCAGTTCCAATCCTTTATCTTTGAATAGTGCTTTATAGATTGTGAAATACTTACACACAACCTGATATGCCTGATCTTTTCAGCATACCTCAGGCATCCTTGTCCCATTTCAGGAGACACTGGGGTTTAGAGAGGTCATCTGGCTTGCTTAGGGATATGAGTCTATTCATCAATAACTAGGACCTCAACCCATGTACCTCCTAACTCCAAACCTAGTGTTTTCCCCACTAGACCCTCTTTCTGTGAATAAGAAAGCAAACCACAATTAATGATTCATTCATCCATTCATCTACTATCTATTGATCATCCATGATACACCAGGCACTGTTCCAGGCATGAGGATATAGCTGCCAACAGAGCCCCCTCCCTCATTACATTCCAGATGGTGGCAGATAGCAAATTTAAAAAAAAATGCCAGAGTGTCAACTTCTGTGACAGAAAATAAAGCAGCATATGGGAAGAGATAAGGTGGGGCTCTAGGTGAGTCTGGGGCTCAATGAGTGAAAGGAAAGAAGGAGCCATGGGGGCCTCCCCGGTGGCGCAGTGGTTGAGCACTGGGTTGCGAAGCTGCGCTGGGTTGCAAAGCTGCCCGCGGCCTCTGTGGCGCCAGTTTGATCCCCGGCTGCTCCCCGGCCACCAGAGGAGGGTCCCACATGGTGTGCAGACCTCTCCTGCCGCCCGCTGCTCCTCTCAGCAGTGTACTTGGTCAGTCTGCCTGCTCTGCTCCCCGCTCTGGCTCTGGTGAATTCTCTCACCCTCCCGTGCTTCTGACTGTACCCAGTGCATGTATAAACAAACAAACAAACAAATAAATAAATAAAACATGCCTCTATTAAAAAAAAAAAAAGAAGGAGCCATGGGAAGAAATAGAAGAGAAGCTTCCCAGGGTTGTGGGACAGCATACATATGCAAGCCTGAGGTGGGAAAAATTCATGTATTCTGATAACTGAAGTGCTTTGTGACTACAGAGGCCTGAGCAAAGGACAGAATGGTAGGAGATGAGGTAGGAGAGGAGGCAGGGAACATGTTCAGAGAGACTGAAATGTTTCAGGAAGGAAGGAAAGTCTGACACTACAAAGTTTGCTTCTCTTTTAAATAAGAATCTGTGTGTTGATCGAGGCTGGGTTTTAACAGGTCTCTGTCTCTTTCACAGGCCTACAGGTTTTCTCAGCTTCCTGAAATGGTCATGGGCTCTCCCCCGCCACCTGTACCTCCCCGGACTGGCCCTGTAGCTGTTACTTCTCTCAGGCGGTAACACATTCCTTTGCCTTATTTGGAATATTTGGAAAGGATTGGGTCCTGAGTATCCCGAGTGACAGACTTCCTTCATGCCCCAGTCCATTCAGGGTGTATCACCTGTCTAACCATGTACCTAGAGCACCTGAGTGCCAAGAAAGAAGTTGGGAACACAGAGGGTTGGCCAAACTTCATGTCATTTTCATTAAACATTAGAACAGGCACACAATAGAACCCACAGTTGAAAAAACCCATGGTCAGCTGCCGCATACCCTGAAAGCCAATACCCTGACCTTGAATATCTGAAAATGACTCCAGCTTGGGCCATCACAGGGCTGCCTCACATTGGGGTGCCTCCTGCTAGGTCTGTGCATCCACAGGTCTGTTTGGTGATTAGGGGTGGTATCTGAGAGGCCAGGGAGAGGTGTGTCCCAGCACCCACCTAGCTCTTGACTTCTACCGTGGGGAGGCTGAAAGACTGAATTCAGATATGTCATTTATGAAGCATGGGTTTAGTATTCTCTTTGATTTGTAATGATATAAAAAGCATATGTTTTAAATAAAGATAGACCAGAGCCACAAAAGCCATGAGCACTGGGAGACGTTGGCATAGTCATCGTGTGCAGGGCTGGGAGAAGCAGCTGTAGCCCGGAGTATCTGTGGACCACTGCCCTGGCCTCTCCTGACAAACGAGACACACCCAATCTGTGAACCACATGAAAACAGTGAAGGCAATTGAATTTCCCTCAGAAACCACCCTGCCCTCGTTTCTAGCATGTGTAGAACGGCCCCACAACTCCAGCCAAGCTGAGAGTGGGTGGGAAGCAGCAGACCAGGACTCCATCTCCCCACCACTGACCTGCCGTGCACCTCCAGGCAAGTTGCCTCACCTGCTTGACCCCTGTTTCCTTACCTGAAAGATGAGGGCAAAAGCTCAAGTGATTTCAGTTTCTGGGATTCCTCCAAGGCAGCCAAAATATGTGCATCGGAATCCAGGAATTTTCCTGGGAAGGGTTTTCTGAAGGTGTAGTTATTACCTGGAACTGCGTGGGGGAAGCCAGGGCTGTGTGAGTAGGCAAGGAGGGATGAGCAAGGGAAGGGAGGACCCCATACTGAATCTCTAGCACTACCATGTGTCTGCATTTACCCTCCCCTGGGGAATAGTCTTCCCTGAGCTTCTCAGCTACTCCTCAGGGTCCAGGATGGGAGGTGCTTCCCATCAGCCATTTGTGGTAGGTTTGCTAACGGCCAGCATCTATTTCTCACATCGCCTCCCAACCATCAGTCTCCTCCCGTGCCCTGGTGAGCCATGTGCCATCCTTGCCAAATACCAGGAGGTCACTGCCTTCCATATAAACCTGGAGGATTAGACCAGGGAGGAACCTGGGAGATGAGCTCATTTACCTTTTGATTTCAGAAGAGGAAACTGAGGCTCAGAGAGAGAGGTAGCAGGAGCCCAGGCGCTGCCTCTCCATCAGGTTCCTTCACTCTAGCTCTGTTCTGCTCTTACTGCCACAGCCACCCTTCTGCTCAGAGGGTGTCCCTGTGGTTACCTTCTGTGGCTGCCTTTGCTTCCTTCCCATTTCAATTTTAGGGGAGCTTGGAGTCTCAGCTGCAATCTGTGTCTAAAGCATCTTTTATAATAGGGGAGATGCTGGTGGCCGCCAAGCCCAGCCTGCCCTCTTCTTCCTTGGCTTTCTGAACACTCAGTGGAAATATGATGTGTTAAATGGGCAGGATCACGGCTTGCCTGTAGGACCAAACAAGCAAGCAAACAAACAAACAAAAAACTTCTCTCATTCACAACGCACTTAGAGTGCTAGACTCCTCTGCTTGCTCCCAGGGGCATCGTAGCTTCCCAGGTCTTGGGTTAAGTTTTTCCAAATAGCAGCGGGGATGCTGTGCACCCAAAAGCCTTCCTGGGCCACCCTCCTGGAGTCAGAGCAGCTGCAACCCCGCTCTGCAGACAAGCCTTCTCATTGGCTGCTGATGATGTCACTACCTCCTGGGTCCACCATCCCCAGCTAACACCCAGCGCTAATTGCTTGGCTGATTTTTGTGTGAAAATTAAGCGTGCTACTCCCCAGAGACACAAGAACCACCTCAGGGGGCCGCTGGCCTTGAAACACCTACACCCCCACTCCAGCTCCTGCCAGCACGACGCTGCTCCAATAGCCCCCTTCATTGTTGGAGGGCAAATCCTATGAGGGGTCCCCCCCTCGCAGTGCTGGGACACGGCTGCTTCTCCCGATGGCTGCTCTGGGGTCATTCACGCCCTTCCCCCCGCCACCCAGCTGTGATGTAGGGGACTCGGCTAACGCAACCCCCGCTCTGCCCGCCCAGGTCCACCTCGGACATCGGCAGCAAGACCAGGATGGCCGAGTCTGCGGGGCCCGAGCCGGCCCAGCTGCATGACAGCGCCTCCTTCGCGCAGGTGTCCAGGGGCCAGGTGTCCGTGGCGCAGCTGGATCAGTCTGCTTTAAATTACTCAGGTGGGCGAGAGAAGAGTCCCCCAGCCGGCCCAAGCCTTTGCTGTGCTCTTTGCCTTTCCCCTCCCCCAAACCCACTGTCTGCCTTCTCCCTGCCCTCCTCAGAAATCCCGGCAATTCTTTTCTGAGCCCCCTTCCTAATTGCAGTAGCCCTGGCTAGAGAGCTCCTGGCTTTATTTCTTAAGATCTGAAATCTGACAAAACATTAAGATGTGTTACAGTCAGGATATATGTTGACATTTTGCCAGACTTCAAGGATTTAAAAAATAGATATCTCTTTAAAGCTTTACACACCCCATCTATTTCCCTTCTCCCCAGGGGTTATTATAGTCTTCCAGGCCTGGGTTTTAACTTTTTGCTATATATGTATGTCCTTAACAGTGTATGTTAATGCCCTAGGTACTTTAAATGTACATAAGTGATAACAAGCTGCACATTTCCTTTTGCACTTTGTCTTCTTAATTCAACTTTGTTTCCAAGATTTGTATGTTGCTGCATAAAAGCTCCCTCTGTGGAGGGAGTCTCCCCAGCAATGGACACATCAGTCGTTTCCTTTTTTTTTTTTTTTTTTTTTTTTTTTTTTTGCTGTTAACAAACAAAGCTGACATGAGCATCAAGGTTTGTGCCTGCCCTGGTTGGTTTTTGCTTTATTCACACCATACCTTTTAGGCTAAAACTGCAAGTACCCAGTTGTCAACACTGATTAAAACACTGTGTCCAGAAACCCCACCAGTAGCATCCATTCCTTCTGGTTCTTTTTCTTGGCTCTTTAAAGATACTATCCTTCTGGGGAGAGACCACCTGGACACCAAGGTGTGTTTTCCTCTTGCCAGCAGGTCAGGGGGTGTTGTGATGAGCAGGGGGGGTGGTGAGGGCTCAGCCAGGGGAGTCGAGCCATCACCTGTATGTAGTAAGCTGGATGTGATTGCCAATAGATGGTGCCTTCCAAATTGACTGGACAGGTGAGCAGGGAAGGTCTAGCCCCCCTCTACTACCTCCTCCTCCGTGCCAGAATCTGCCCCCCATTTTCCATTTTCCCCCAACTTAGCTGTTGATCCAGTGGGTGGGTGTTGGCCTAATCTCCCTGTCCATCCCCTCTGCACCAGGTAATACGGTGCCGGCCGTGTTCGCCATCCCAGCTGCCAACAGACCAGGCTTCACTGGCTACTTCATCCCGACGCCTCCCTCATCCTACAGGAACCAGGCCTGGATGTCCTATGCTGGGGAGAATGAGCTCTCGAGCCAGTGGGCCGATTCGGTGAGACCTTTACTTAGTCCCCCACAGCTCTACCTGCTTGACACGCTTCAGGGAGAAAATGCATGAGAGGCTGAGACTGAATGTTGTGTTATCTCAGCCTCTCTCCCACCACCCAGGTGACTCAAGTCAGCTATTTTAGAGGAAACAGACTGGTAAAGTGGAATGGCAGTTGACAGAGGAACTTGAAACCAGCCTTCTAGTCCAGGTTCCCCTGCTTCCTAACTAGGCAACCGTAATAGGACAAATTTAAATAATAACAACTACCGTATTTTCTCTGTGTCAGGCACTGTTAGGTGTCTTGTTTATATTGTCTTCTTTAGTCTTCACAACATCCTGTCAAGTAAATATTATTCCTGTATTGCATCCCATTTTGCAGATGAGAAAACTGAGGTCTACTCAGATGTCATGCAGCCAGTAAGGTGTCAAGGCTCGAATTCAACATTGCATCTGACTCCAGAGCCTTTATTCAACTTGTTCCTTTTTGCTTTAAAATTCTGTAAATACTGTAGAGGAAACACCATGTAAAAAGATGCCTTAGAAACCCAAGGTTTCCTGCTCAATTTCTGAAAAATGGCTGTCTTGTCATGGCCCTTGGTTTCTTCCTTTGTAACAAGTCACAGAATTTGGTACAGTGGACCTCTCCCAGTCTGGACCAAAGGGAATAGCACCCCTGTGAACCTTGAGAGTCACACCCAAACCAGCCTGAGTCACCTGGCAAGGGCTGCTAAGTGAGAAAACCAGAAAACCAAACAAAACAACAAGCACAGTGATAGCCTCTAGAGTAGGTTGTCCGATAACCCATCATGGAGAAGAAGGGCAGACTACCTCCCCAGGCTGAGCCTGGAGCTCTGATCCTATATGTCACTTTAGGGTTTGGTCTCAAAATTTGAAATATGTCCTATCTTTAGGAAATAGTTGACACACAAGGCCTGGGTCATCTTTTTCTTTCTGCCCAAATCCCTGCGGTCCATACTAACTCTTCAGGTTTAACTCAACGTCAGTGCTGGTGGTGGTTCTTATTGCAGTAATGCCACATCTAAATGATGCTCTCAGGGGTAAAGCTCTTCTGTCTATTTTAATTTTCCTGATCAAAGCTTAATGTAATTTCTAAAATATTTAAATATAGATGAGGCCATCTTGCATTTAAAAAATTTTGAAATGAATGACATTCTTTCCCCTTCCCCTTTAAAGAGGAACATACTTTAATTGGTCATTAACAAAAGATTCGGCATCATTACTATGCCTCACTGTACTAAAATGACATTTGTAAGATGGGTTCTGATGGTTTATAGGATTACTGCCCCTATGTCAAATATCTCCAAACTATTATCATTTTGGAGTTATTCCAGTGGCTCAGTGTGGTTTTTCCTTTCTCTGACTTTGCTCCCAGCTGGCACTTAAATTACTGTCAATGTCCCCACTTCCAGCTATATAGTCCCCCTTAAATATGCTTTTCCTAATGCACTATTATCTGCAAATGAGGCATGTCTGAACTCATTACAATTGTTTATAAAGTTGGAGTAAATAAGCTCTAAGAGAGGAAACAGGGATTCCCTGCTGTTAAGTAAACAAATCTTAGGACTTAGAACAAACCTTAGGCAGCCAGGTAGAGTCAAATGAGTCTCAGGTGTGTTCCAACTCTTTGCAGCAAGACTTAAAGCACCTGTTTAATTCAACCAGCCATTCTCAGCTTCTAAACGGCTGAATCGCTGGATATGAGTTGATCAGTTCAGAGCCTATTTGATTCCATAATTCTACTTCCAGTCTAAACTTACAGAACATAGATGACACTAGACTCCATCTAATCAGGCAGTAGTAAGCCTGCAGCTTTGGTGGCTCTGCGCAGAGTATTACGTGAGGACTCTGTGGGAGTTGGCAAAAGGATTTCCAGGGGCCTCCCTGGTGGCTCAAGGGGTTAAACGTTAGCACCATGAAGCAGTCCTCATTTACTGCAACATGAGTTCGATCCCCGGGCAGGGATCTACCCACATGGCACAGCAGACCTCTCCTGTCTTGCCCGCTGCTCCCCTCAGCAGTATATTTCAGTAGATCTGCCTGTTCTGCTCCCCCATGCTGTCTCTGATGAATCCTCTCACGCCCTCACCCCCGCACCTCTGGTCTACACCCTAGCACTTGTATGCATAAATAAATAAATCTTTAAAAAAAAAAAAAAGGATTTCCAAAGCCTTGGTTGGCCCTTGCTCTCAAGACACAGATGGTGGATTAGTCCAGCAAATGGCAACATCCAGATGCCTTTGGGTTCATAGTGTCTTAAAGATGAAAGAAGGGGAACCTAGCAGATCAAAAACCTCACCTCCTGATAGGATGAATCCATCATTTTGGGCTCAGCCCCCTCAATGCGAAGGAGAACCAGTTTCCTATTAGTTTTTAATTAAGAGAAGGATGATTGCTGCAGCCTAAATGGATCTTTCCTGGAGCCCAGTTACCACTACAGGTAAGCAGGGTGGCATGCCCATGCGTGGAGCTTTGCAGTCAGGAAACAAGCCCAGAGGACAGGTGATTTATTGCTCATGTGGGCTGCGTGGGGGACTAGTTAACAGCTGGAGAAAGCTTCCCCATGGGGGCAGGGATTATGCCCACCCTCTACATCCTGTGGAAAGGAAGATCCCTTCTGCCATTTGCATGTCTCGCCTTCCTGATCCCAGGTATCCAGAACGGAGGTAGCTTGGATAAAATCACCTGGACCTGGGTTGATGAATAGGTTTTGTTCTTGGTGCTGGATAGAGAAGGATCTGGAGGATTCCCAGGCTCAAGAGCAAGGTGTGCAGCAACTGGTCGGTGATATCTGTCATGGTCACTGGCTAGGAAAAGTTGGGGAGTGGTGTTTGCCAGCCCTGAGTTGGGGCCAGTGAAGCACGATGGATCCCTCTCGCATGTACTATAAGGAAGAGTCTCTCAAGTCCTCATCTTCCCTGCTTCTGAATATTACCCCGAGGCCACTCCAGTGGAGTCAGGTGTCCCTGGCCTGTCCCAGCCACCAGCACCAAGACACTTAATGCCACAGAGCCAAAGGGTGGCCAGAGTGGACTTTCAGCTGCAGCAAGGGCTCTTCATTTCCCGCTGAGTTTGAAATGCGGGAAGGGGGATGGGACAGCTTGCTTCACCAACATTGGGCACCAGCTGGACATCCTTTAATGATTTTCAAGCTGTGCGCCTCAGAACCCCAACTTTGCAAAACTCCCTAACCACCTCTCCATTGTTCAAGGGTCAACTATACTTCCTTCCATTTGCTGGATTGTGCTTATATTTAAAAGGTAACCAGATGTGGACTCAGTGTGTTCCAGCTCTTTGCAGCAGGGTTTCCTGCACCTATTTAGTTCAGCCAACCAGCATAACCAGTGGGTCCAAATGCCCACATTCTAAGCAAACTGACTCCAGGTTTCATATCTACACAACCGTATTTTCTTCTGACTCTCCTTCCCTGGCCTCAGCTCCCTCCTGTTTTCAGTATTGAGGGTCTCCTAGGACTTACTTGAGCCCCTGTCTAATCCCAGGCCCTGGCCTTCTCTTCCACCATCCTCTGCAGGTCCCCCTCCCGGGGTACATCGAGGCTTACCCACGGTCACGTTATCAGCAGAGCTCACCCTCCAGGCTTCCTCGCCAGTACAGCCAGCCAAGCAGCATGCACCCCAGCTTGGAGCAGGCCCCGGTGCCCTCCACAGCGGCCTCCCAACAGAGCCTGGCAGAGAATGACCCATCTGACGCACCCCTGACCAACATCTCCACGGCGGCCCTCGTGAAGGCCATCCGGGAAGAGGTGGCCAAGCTGGCCAAGAAACAGACAGACATGTTTGAGTTCCAGGTCTAATGCCTGAGCCCCTGGGAACTTCAAACACAAGGAAATAGTCGTCAGGTTTCTCAAGCCTAACATGTTGGAACTGGAGTCACATCAGTGTGTGAATCTTTCTCGCCCTCCCTTACTGAAAAAGTGAACAGTGGGGCTTCTGGGAATCAGAGCAAAACTCTTAAACGACTGGATTCTCATTATTCCACTGATTCTATGTCAAGAAGTCCCTGCACGGGACCATATGTTTGACATTCTGTTATGTTAAATGTTTGAACTATGGGTGCATTTCCCTACGGAGCCTTAGTCACAAGAGACATTAGCTATCTGCAGATTTCTGAGCAATGCCACATTTTAATAAATCACCAGAGGGGAGAATACAGCTCTATCTTTTGTGACCTCTGCATGTTAACTCCGTTTCTGTTTTAAAGGCAATGCAGGGGTGTGATTAAGCACCAGACTGCTCTCTCTCATCAGCTGTGACTGTATTCCTTAAAATCACCTCTGGTCTGTAAGGGAGACACTGACTCCAGCCAAGAAACTTGACTCCCTTTCTCTTCTAAAGGTTCATATTCAAAGTCAAATGAATTGGATAAAAATCAGTACTCTCAATGACTGCACCTATAAATAGTCCTGGCTCTTCCCCCCCATTAATTAAACAAAGACCAAGAGAGAGAGGAGATGAGAGGAAATGGTTGATGTGTGTTGACAGGCTTTTGAAAACGTGTTGTCATTTTAGATTCAGAGAACCCTGCAAGGTGGGATCTAACAGAAAGAGAATCGGTGCTAAGAGCTTTTAGGATCCTACAAAAGAAAAAGTTACTCATGGAGGTTTTTTCTTTGCCTTGCAATGAAGGGGGCCTGAGAATGAAGCATCTTTCTTTTGAGGAAACAGATACATCGACTTGTACAAGAAAGTCTCTGCCCCTTCATCAGTGATGTTCAGCATGTGCTGCCGAGCAATGCAAAAGGAAATAGTCATTGATGCCTGTTTGAAGCCGAAATAGTGGATCCGCAGCCTCCCCAGGCTGCAGCCTCTGTTTGTGGAAGCTTCTGAATGTAGAAAACCTGTTAATTTATGTTTAAATGTAAATAACTTTTTAAAAAAGTGTATGGAGTTAGCCAGTGCCCTTTGCACCCTATAGTTAATGGGCGCAGGAGGACTTCAACAGAAATGGTGGGGCTGCTGACCTTGTGACAAAGATGTTGCAAATCACCCTCCCAGGCATGGCCAGTCAGCCTGCAGAATTCTGTATGGGCACTGCCTCTCAGCCCTGAGGCACCAGTCGCTGACTGTCACTGCAAACAAAACAACTACTGACTTTGGGTACCCCAGAGAGAATGAACAGTCTGGTTTCCTCACCAACGTTGGGAGCCATGCACGATATTGGGGGCTTATTGGTGTCTGTTGGAGAACAAGGTCCTGTCCTGCCTTCACCCATGACCCATCTAGCTTCAGCTGTTATCCATCCCCTTCTGAGCCTATCCTTCCATTCTCCTCATGAGTTTCTTTGGTCTTTACTAAGAGAAGAAGGTGGAAATTTAAAGTTGAGAGAACAGTAGGAGTGGGACTGACTAGGATGGGAGATTCAGACTGTCAAAGCACAGACTTTTCAAAGAAGCTGTTTTTATTTCCCAATGGCAAATTGCCCTTTCTGGAATGTTCCAGAAATGATGTGTCATGGAAACCCCAAACAAGTCCCTTGTTCAGATGATATTAGGTAGTGTCCTTTTGGTATGCTGGTTGATCTTTCATAGTGTTAGTTTTTTGTTACTTAAAAAAAATCAGCTATAAATAAAATGTATTTTTGTAATTTCCATGTGTATATATGGTATATTTCTACCAATGGCCAGTTATTGTAGTCCAAAACCTAAATCAGCTTGCAAAACACTGTGGACGGTGCAAGATTTTATGGACAGATTAACACAATGCCTAAGTCTATCCAAATAGGTATTCAATGCACTTGAATGAACAAAGAGCCAAAGAAACTCAGCCTTTTCATGCAAATGGTATGAGTCTGATAAAGTCAGCTACATTGTCCCGCCTTACCAATAATATTTCATCAGTGCAATGATCTCACCCAATACTTTTGTCTACTTGGTAAATGCCTGGAAATACTGTATATGAAAATGAAGTTTCAAGACCTTAGTATGATTAAAGTATATGCACATGCTTCAAAGACAGTGTCTGAGCTTTGGACATTCCAGTGATTTTTTTTTTTTTTTTTAGAGAATGAGCCTACAGTTTGCTTCAGCTTGCTAAGAGGATGGAGAAACCAATAATTGCGATCTTTGCAGAACCCCATGAAATATTGAGTCAGTCAGCTGAGATGGCTAAAAACATGGTATGGTAAATCGGGCACTCTCAAACTAGGCACCACAGGTTAAAAGAAAAGTATCTAGGTGGAAAACTTTAAATTGAAAAGAAACCAATTTGTTCATGTCTTCCCGCCAATGGGGAGATTACGCTCTTGTTTGATTTTCTGTGACTAAGATGTAGTCTTTTTCTGAAGAGTCTCCTGACCTCAAGGAGGCGACAGATACGGGACATCTGAGAAAGGGCAGATGGTCCGAAGTGCCTCATGGTAGTGAAAATAGAGTTCCATGAGAGCCCTCAGGCACTGTGTTCCCCAGGATGCTCCAGACAGTTGAAGAAGCCACAGAGGACTTTGGTGACCTCGGCGGAGGTGAAAGTCCAGGGAAGTAGAGTGACCTGCCTGAGGATTCCAGCCCAAGCCTGCTGATTCATGACTCAACTTGCTCTCCATTTCACCATGCTGCCTGCCCACTTGTCTGTGACACATTTCTTGAACTGTGCTAGGAAATTTTAAAAAGTAGACAAGGGTGATTTGAGGGACTCCCTGCATTCTTTCAAAGAAACAAGATGATTGAATTGTGAAGAGTTTCAGATCAAGTGTATAGAGGACCATGCATTTGTGGCATAATAAACAATTTTTGGAACTAGTTTTGATGTGAGTTTTCTACATTTGTGAAAAGAAATGCATTTTGACTTTTTCCAGAGAGAACCTTCAAGGAAATGGCGTTCTCAACTGCTATTCAAGACTATGGGGTGTGTTCTTCCCTTGGTGCCATAGATCCAAACGGGCAAGTGAAGAGGCCGTGACAGTTTGTCATTGTGAGGAAGCAGGGTCTGTACTCTAGGGAAGGTGATCTGGTGGTGCAGGAGAATCATTATTCTATGCCCTGAGATGCCAGTTGTTACCTTTGGAGCAGGGAGGTGCCTTTTTTCAGGGTGTGCTAGTGATGGAATGTTTTTGTCCTCAAATTCCTAAGTTGAAATGCTGACCCTCAATGTGACAGTAGAAGGTGGGGCCTTAAGAGGTAATTCTTGAGGGTGGAGCCCTCATGAATGGGATTAGTGCCCTTCCAGAAGGGACCCCAGGCAGCTCTCTTGCTTTCTTTTCTGCCATGTGAGAATACAATAAAAGGTCAACAGTGCAATCCAGAAGAGCGCTCTCAGCAGAACCTAACCCTGCTGGTACCCTGATCTTGGCCTTCCAGACTCCAGAACTATTGTTTATAAGTCCCCCAGGCTATGGCACTTTGTTATGGCAGCCTGAACTGACTAGGAGTGGATTATGGGAGAAGTTATATTGTTTATATGTTGTTTCAAAAATTTGGCAAAACAGCATGTAATTTCTGAGCTCTCAGGATGGATAAGAAAATGTTAAATCTGTGATTTAAGAACACTTCTGAGAAAAAATGCAAAATAAGGGAGTGAAGAATTTAAACACCTGACTAGAAGAAATGTTTCTCTGACAAGCAAAAATTCAAGAAATGTCTCAAAAGATTTAAATATTGATTCTGCATAATACACAGGTATTTGATGTTTATTAATAAATTGATGCATTATTTTAAACATTTGAAAACTGAATTTCAGAATTTAATCCACACACCAGAAAATGGTTTGGACTTTTCTTTAAAAAATACAAACAAGATAGTAGTTGAGCTTGGAGTAGTGGCTCCAACACACAGGTCCAAGAGTTGGAGATTCAATTCGATCATTTAGTCCAAGCTTGAGAGTATTTAAGTCAAGGAACTTTGTGAGAACTAGAAACCCGTTCACATGTGCTCGAATGCAAGGGTTGACTAAAAGAACACAGGACCATTTCATAGAAATAAAACACAGCTCTCATCCAGGAAAGGGATGGAGACAGCTGTCCTGGGATTTTATCTCTCAGGTCTCTTGCTTCCCTCTGCTATCTTTCTCTGCGTTCTCATTAGTTTAATGTAGCTGAAAATCCACGCAAGGCCTGCTCCCCAGCTCCCCACAAACTTTCCTTTTCCGTACCCACCCTTCTCTGACTACCACTGCATGTCCCTTAGGGCAAGTCAGGCTCTGATTGGCCCGGTTCATCTGCCACTGGATGAACCACCCTTGGTCAGGCACCTAGCCAGTCAGCTATAATTAAGAAGGCAGGGATATGTAATACAAGCATGGCCCCCTGGACTGACCCTTTCAGTGGAGACTGGAACCCAGAGGAGGGAGCATGAGTGGTCAGGACCTTCAAAAGGAACCCACTACAGACCAGAATGGACCAGTACTCCCAGGATGCCAGCCAGCAGGTGAGTAATCCCTATAGATAATGCCCCAGACAGGAAAGCATCCTTGACTTGCAAATCAGATGAGAACAGCTGTGCTTCTAGCCCTGGTGGATTGGCTAGACCTGCCCCAACCACTTCCTACCCCAATGCCAATAGTGACATAGCTGCTGGGTCTCAGCAGTGATTTCTGATCAGGGCCCAGTTAGCAAACATCTTGCTGAGCAGACAATAAACACTTGTAAATTGAAATGCATGATCTTAATTCAGGTGCTACTTATGTGGCTCGTGGCCACACAATTGCATGGATAAAACCAATGAACCTCTCAATAGAAACTCTTGAAACAAAATTGGCTTCAAGAGAAATTGATGTTATTGTGACTCTGCCCTTGCAAATGTAATAAGTTAGTGTACTAAGAACTGCAAGGGCTCTTGATTTCTTAAAGTGAACTGTTACAGGATCCTAGCCTGTGATAAGTGCTAAAATGTAGGTGGTTCTGGAGAGGGATATTTAGGAAATAGAATTTATAGCACCAGAATTGAATTCTTTTAGATGGTACTAATTTGCTGTGATTATGCTGGTTTCAAAAAATGGGAGATTCATGAAGTGGTAGAACTTGTGTCCATAGGTCAAACCCACATTTTAGTAAAAGCCATTACATAATGAAATCTAGAAATTGATTATTTTCAATCTCTAACCTCAGTCAGGCTTGTGAATCACAGAGGGAGGTTGTCAGTGTATTTTACATAAATTAACTGTGGCTTTACCTTGTCTCCCCCATCTCTTCCTAATGTCTAAGCTCCCCTCCCCAAGCCACACATAAACTGAGTACAAGAGAAAGGTTTTACCGAACAGAATCAAGAGTTTCATTGGTTTAGAAATGTCAAAAACAGCAAAGTATTCAAGGCCTTGGCAATTCACTTTGAACCAGTCTCTGATGCCTCATCTGTGAAATGGGTATGACAAGTTCTGCACTTCTTACCTCCCTTGGTGGCTGTGAGGAGTATGGTATAATGTATCTGAAAAATGCTTTGCAAAGTATACTGGAAAGTATTCTTACTAAAGTATTAGCTTCATAATTCAGTTTTATCCAGCAAAACAGTTGAGCTCCTTCTATCCATCAAAATAATAGTGACATGATCTGTAAACTTAAAAAAAAATTATATCCTATAAAATAAAAAAGTAAAGATGTTCCTAAGTTTGGAACTGCCCACAAAAGCCAGCCTCAACTGGAGCTGTATTTTGCTGTCATTCTCCATGATTTGGAGACTGTCAGGTCTTGCACATGAGTTTTACTTTGGGTGGAAAACCCAAACCAGCGATTCCCACCAACCAACTTCAACATGTTGCAAAAAGACAAGTGCTGAACGGGAGCTTTGACTGTAGCTATTGTCAATTAATGCTTTGCTTTCTTAATTACATTTGTATATCCTTGGCCTCTGCCTGGAACAGAGGGCACATATGTTGTTAGAATTTTTTATTGTAAAATAAAATGGCAAAGGCTCTCATACCCCAAAACCTGCTTGCTTCTCATTCTGCTTCATCCACATAGTGACCTGGAATCCCCTTCACAACCCAGCTGCACAGCAATGCCTCCTGGGGGAGGGTTAAAATATAGTTGCAGACTTGGCATATCCAGTGTGGTCCTAGGAGCCCTGGGCCTGAGTTCATCAGTCAAAAAAAGTTTACCTCTGGCCATGCCCAGGGCCCAGAAGAGCAGTTCCAAACTAACCATGAATGTATTCTTGGGGCAGATGGTGTTTCAGGGCACATAAGCCAAAATCTGCTGACATACTCTTCTTAGAGTGTGAAGAAGTTCCATCCAAGTCAGTGAGTCCCAGGGAGTCCAGGGAGGACATTGGTATGGAGCACAAACTCTTGAGACCACCTACTCCGCACCTCCATGTTAGTGCTGGCAGTCATGATACCTGCCTACTGTTCAGCCCTATCTCAAGACCATGTGTTAGACTCCATGCTCTGGCCTCTGGCATCAGCTGACTGGACAGGAGAGACATCCAACCCAGAAGCCACATGTTCATTTACTGACAAGTCACCAAAAAATGTAGTTCAGCATATGGGTTAGGCCAACCAGATTCTCTTATCTAGAAATACCAAGAAGCAGAGACTGTTAGCAACAGTTGTTGAAATGGAATGATCAAGACTCAGAAGCTGTGATGGGCTATATTCAAAGGTCTAGAATATTGAGTAGAAGCACCTTGAAAACAAAGAGATTTTAAAGGCTAGGTAAGAGAGCTTCTCTTTAAAGTTTGCCTCTAAAACTGGGTATGTTCCAAGGAAAAAGTCTGTGCCCCCCGGGTTAACTCTTTAGAATGGGCCCAGGTGAAGGAGAGTCAAAGGCTGAGACTAGAAACCAGAGGCCACTACCAGCACACATGAGGCCTGGAGATGTGCTTGTATATCCATCTTTCTGCCAGGAGCATGCATGTCCAGGTGTGGTTTTAGCCTGTTCCTCATTTATCTTTCATTTAACTGCATCCTTAGAGGAAGCACTGATTGAACTTTCCACATCACCATCCATTTAGGACTTCATTGGCTGAGAAACATTTCTTGAGTTCCTACTATGCACCAGACAATGTGCTGAGGGATGAAGATTCATAGTGAGCAGGACACAGGGCCAACCCATCACAGAGCTCACAGTCGAGAAAGATTCATCCTTGACGCAAAAAG